CTCTAATTGTGTCAAACCATTTCCCGTGTTCCGCTCAGCTGATTTCGATTTGACATAAAATTTTGTTTGCAAAGAATAAAGAACTGCTGTCTACGATTGTTCATCATTTTTGGCAACAATGCAAAAATGGCCCCAAATAATGACACGATGTTCAGAGGGAAAACAGGCTTTAATACCCCTACAGGCACTCTCTCTATCTCTCTCATGCGTGTTGCGTGACTCAATTCACTTGATGTGATCAGGCTGATTGAACATGGCGACGTTGACAATGGAGACTGTTATCTAGCGGCGACAAACGAGTGTTTTTTTCGTTCCTTGAGTGACTGCGACACCACCGTTTAGAGACTTGAAAGTTTTCTGTGGGTTGATGATCGCGGTAAACGTTCTTTCGNAACGAGTGTTTTTTTCGTTCCTTGAGTGACTGCGACACCACCGTTTAGAGACTTGAAAGTTTTCTGTGGGTTGATGATCGCGGTAAACGTTCTTTCGTCAAGCTACGCCTTATATTTTATCCTGTTTCCGATACTTCCGCATGCAGGTACGTTTCAGTGATTCAGTATCTATTCGACATCTGTTTCACTTGCTGCATGAAATGAAAATAGAATGGTGTTGGTGACAAACATGGACAAATTACATTCATTGAACTAGAAGGTAAAGTCCGATCACAAATAAGTTTAATGTAAGCATAGAATTATATAAGGGAATACATGTTTTCAGATGGTTTTCTGAAGCCGATATTCACAGTAAAGACAGCTTCCAACCTAATTCGAATTTAGATTAACCAAACGTCGAACTTATCACGAACTTAATTCGCTCAGTTTAGTCGATCAGCTTTGTTCGCCTCATGTGAAGATCGACGTTTGACCTGAGCCTTAGCTAAGTTTGTTTGAATTAACTAGACGCTTTGCTGCGTGTACCCAGGCAGTCGTTATACTGAGAAGCACTAGCTATATTGCAATAGGCCCTTTGCAGCTAAGCCATCACGTGACCTACTTTTCATAAAATTATGGGCTATAACTTA